CTTTGCAAATGTGAAGCCCTGAGTTCAAATTCTAATCCCACCAAAAAATAAATTATTAGCACATATTAATTTACAAAATAAATGGATTCATTATGACTTTTCCACACATATATAGGATGTACTTTGGACACATTCAACCCAAATTGCCCTCTGTTGTCCCTCTTCTCTCTTATCCTTGTCTTCTTCGACTTCCCAAGTAGTCCCCTTTCTATGTCATGTACTTTTTAAAAAAAAAAATCTATATTCCACATATTAGAGAAATCATGTTACATTTGTCTTTCTGAGTCTGGTTTGTTTCACTTAACATGATGATCTCCAGGTCCATCAGTTATCATGTAAATGATATAATTTCAGTTTTCTCTTAGGCTGAATAAAACTCAATTGTGTTTGTAGACCACATTTTCTTTATCCACTTATCTGTTGATGGGCACCTAGAATGATTCCATAGCTTGGCATATGACATATCATGCATAGTATCACAGTAAACATGGGTTTGCAAGGTCTCTATCATGTGCTGATTTAGATCTCTTTGGGTATAAACCCAGGAGAGGTATAGCTAGATCATATGATAGTTCTATTTTTAGATTTTCGAGGTAAATCCATGCTTATTTCCACAGTGGCTATACTAAATTACATTTCCATCAGCCATGTATAAGGTCCCTTTTCAGACTGTGCTTTCGCCAGCATTTCCTGATGTTTTCTTGATGACTGTCATTCTGTCTCAGGTGAGATGGACTCTTGATATAGATTTTTTTATACTTTATTTTTTATTGTTATACTGGGGATACATTGTGACATTTACAAACTTCCTTACAATACATCATAGTTGAATTCATCCCCGCCATGATTCTCCTTTATCCTCCTTCCTCCTTCCTGGAGTAGTTTCAACAGGTCTCAATTTTTCATTTAAATACATGTGAACAGGTTATCTCTACCATATTCACCCTCTGAACCTCCCTTCCCACTGATATCCACCCACCAGACAGGACCTGTTTTCCCTTCTTGTTCTCTGTTTTTGTAAAAATATAAATAAATAAAATGACATTTTGTTTATTCTCCCTCTCTTGTATGTGACCTCCCCTTAGAGTGACCCATTTTTCATAATTTTGCTTGTATTTGTGTTAGGTCTATATCCCACTTATGAGACATTTGACCTTTGGCTTTCTGAACCTGGGTAGCTTCACTTAAGATGATGAAAAAACTAAACTGTTTAGCAGGAGGCATGAGAGTTTAAATAGTTAACATGTACCAGAACACAGCATTAACAATAAATGGTAACAGCACTAAGAAATATTAGATTATAATCAGTAAGAATACATATTGTTAGTGAAAGATCTCTATAATGAGAAAGTATAAAATACTGAAGGTAGAAATTGAAGAAGATGGAAAGACATCCTATGATCATGGATTGGCAGAATTAATATTGTGAAAATGACCAAATTACTTATAGCCATCTATAGACGAAAAGCAATTCCCATCAAAATTCCTATAACATTCTTCACAGAAATATAAGAAAATCCTAAAATTCATATGAAGTATGAAAGATTCTGAACAGTCAAAATAATCCTGAGCAAAAACAACAATTCTGGAGGCACTAAAATACCTGATTTCAAATTATACTACAGAACCACGGTAACAAAAACAGTATGGTACTGACACATAGGCCAAAGGAACAGAGCAAAGGACCCAGAAATAAACTCACAGAGCAAAAGCCTCCTGATTCTGGACAAAGGTGACAATAGCATATACAAGATAAATAACCTAATGTTGCTGAGAAAACTCGATATTCACATCTAGAAGACTGAAATTAGAGCCCAATGCTGTCCCTTATACAAAAATCAATTTAAAATCGATCAAATATATTAATAAAAAATGTGAAACTTTGAAACTACTGGAGATGCACATAGGGGAAACATTTTAAGATACAAACAGCAATATTCTGAATAGGACTGCAATAGTTCAGGGAATAAGAACAAGAAGTGACATATCAGATTGCATGAGATTAAAAACCTTCTACACAGCAAAGGAAACAATTACCCGAGTAAAGAGAAACCCACAGAATGGGAGCTCTGGTGATCTGGGATTAAATCCAAAATATATAAAGAACTAAAAAACTGAACATCAAAATAACAAATAATCCTATCAATAGGTGGACAAATGAATTGAACAGAATTCTAAAAAGAAGTACAAATGGCTAATAAATGCATGAGAAGATGGCTATCAAAGGAAGTTAAGAAGGTGAATATGGTTGCTGCACTTCCTATATGAGAATGAATATAGAATTTTTAAACCTGTTGAAATCACCATAAGAAGGAGACTTAGGTAGAAAGGAGAAAAAAATAGAGGGGATGAATCAATTTAGGTTATAATGTATACGTACATGGAAATGTCACAATGAAACAACTTGTATAGCTATCGTAAGCAAATAAGAATGACATTTTTTATCACAAAAATGGAGAATAGGAAGGCAAAACAGTTCCTGTATGAGGTAAGTTCTAGTGGGATGGGGTAGGGTATAAGTAAAGGGTGTAGGAGAATAAGGCGCAAATGTTATGTACACATGTATGAAAATGGAAAAATGAGACCTGTTGAAACTTTCAGGAATGGGGGAGGGAGGATAAAGGAGAATGATGGAGGGGTGAATTCAGCTATGATATATTGTAAGAACTTTTGTAAATGTCGCAGTGTATCCACAGTACAGCAATAATAAAATATTAATTAATAAAATATTTTAGTTTTTTACTTTTCTTAAATTCCACATGCAGACATCATTACCTTGTACAGTCAATAGTAACTTACATTTTGTTATTTAAATATTTTTAATTGTTGTGCTGGGTGGGGTACACTGTGGCATTTACAAAGGTTCTTACAATGTATCAAATATATCATACTTGAATTCACCCCTCCACTGCTCTCCTTCATCCCCTCTCCCCTGATTCCTGGAACAGTGTCAACAGGTATCATTTTTGCATTTACACACATGTGTACACAGTATTTGCACTGTATTCATCCTCTCACCCCTTTTCCTGTCATGTCTCCCCTCCCCATTTAAATTTTTATTGGTACTCTTCCTTCATGCATTTCTGTGTTTCCCTCTTGGATAGTTTTTTCTTCCTGATGAGTTCTTTTACTGTTCTTTACTATTTCTTTTTTTGCTACCAACAAAATATCTCAGAAGATGTTTTCATTCTACCTTCCAGTTGAGGAATATTTTCTTTCTGAGTAAAATTTTAGGTATGAGATATGGTCAGTGTGCTAAATGAGCATTTCATAGTCTTCTCACTGTTATTCCTTCTGAGAAGAGAGCTATTAGACTTAATTGTGAGCTCATTCTTGTGTCTTTATTCTTTGATGGTTTCAGTTGCTCATTTTTATTACTTTGCTTCCCTACAGTTTTATTGTAGGCAGTGTTGTGATTTTCTTTGTTTAAGATTTTAGTGCTTCTGGAACCTGTCCTTTCAATGTGGGGAAATTCTTGGTCTGTTTGTCTCCAAATATTGCTTCTGCCCCATTTTCTCTCCACTCTCCCATTACAAATCCAATTGTGTATTTATTGGGTTTCTTTGTGTTTCTTTTTGTCTATTATACCTTTTTATGTACTTTTTTCCAGGATAGTTTTTCTTGCTCCATCTTTCAGGTCAGTAGTCTTTTTTTTTTCTTTTTCCTTTCCAAACTGCTTTTTAAAAATGGAATTTTAATATCACATTTTTGTCTTGTAAAATTTCTTTTATATTTTAACAAAATCCCATTTCATAGAAGTTCACATCCTTTTCATATATTTTTTGATGTATTCATCAAAGTATATGTTTGTTAACTACACTTAATTGATTATATATCCTTTTATTTGTATTTGATTACTTTTTTCTTGGCAGACCTGAACATTTGGATCAAAAGCCAGGCATTGTAAATGACAATTATAAATGGCTATTATGCTCCCCAGAAAGCTCACCTCATTATTTGTCAGATAGATGAGACAGATACAAGGATGGTTAACTTAAGGCTGAGATGACTTCCTCTCCCTAAGTTGCCCCTACTACAGAATGTGGGCTTTTAGAAAGTCTCTCTATATTCATAGTGTTTGATAGGGCATTGACTTCTTTACCCATTCTTCAGTCTAGTTTTGGTTTTCTCAGAACTTAGAAAGCTCCCCTCAACATGACAGAGGTTCTCTGTTTAGACCCTTGGCATTTTCTGCTGCACCACCTAAGAACTAAGCTCATTTTCCTGCATTTCTTCTGCTCCAGGCTATTACCATCCTTATTCCCAGTCTCTTCAGGTCTAGAAGCTTCCCAGGAATCTCTTGCTGGTTCTTCTGAGCTCTGGTCCTCTTCAAGATTCCTGGCCTTCCTCTTTCTTCTTAGTGGCAAATGTCCTCAGGGTAACAGTGACTCTTGACTCTCACCCCACTTTTCTGCTCTAACTTCCTCTCAGAGATAATGGTGCTTCTCTGTCTTGCATGACTCTGTAGCTCTCTAGTGCTTCAATAAGACTTTTAAAAAATGTTTCTCTCAGAGACTAATCTATCATAACCAGAATGAGCTGTAAAGAAGATATTTACTCGCTGTGTTCTTTATTACAGGTCAGGGCTAACTGCGTAATACAATGGTAATGAGCTTACAAAGGACATATTTCCTGATTCAGGAGCTAACCTACTGATTCACATGAAAATTTCATGCGTAAACACATGGGTTGGCAAGTGGTTATATGTTAGATGCAAATTATGTGGTAGAGCTCAGAGAAGATGCCTAACTCAGCCTAGAGCAGGGAGTAGGTGAGGGGACAGAAGTGCTTCCCACAGGAAGTATATCTGTAGGAAAGACGTTCAAAGATTGAGAATTAGTCAGCTATAGGGCCTCATCGACTTGGCATAACACAACTTAGAAATTGAAGCTGTATTATGTCATTGCTAGTTAAGACATAGAGTTGATTCATTAAAAATGTGTTTGAGGATGTAAATTTTAATTAAAAAATTCTAATCTTGGCAATTGATTTCTCCATAGGTGTTCAAAGCAATGAATATCCCACAGATCAGAAATCCTTCTCTGCCTCCACCAGAAAAAATGCCTGAAGCTTATTCTGCAAAAATTGCTCTTTTTGGTGCTGGGCCTGCCAGTATAAGTTGTGCTTCCTTCTTGGCTCGCTTGGGCTACTCTAACATCACTATATTTGAAAAACAAGAATACGTTGGTGGTTTAAGGTAATGCCCCCTTTTATTTCATGTTTGTAGTGTCAAAATGGATGCAGTAAAACAATTATGGATAATGTAGGTTCACAGTTCTATAGAAATTTCAGGCTCACAGATGGTATTTTAAGTGTTCTTTTTCCAAATGCTCATAGTTTGGTTACATTATTCACTCTAACATTTGAAGTTGTATTTGAGGAATATTTATTTAAGAACTTCTCTGTCTTTTTCTGTGAATCTAAGATGTTTTAGCAAAACAGTTTTTGGTTATAGGAATTGACCATATGAAAGTTGTTTTACCCCTGTGAATCTTCTCTTTAGTGGAGATATATCTGAGAATCATGGATATTGAAGATGAGAGAAGCCTAGCACCATAGAATATTAGAACACTCACGTTGCTCTCTTGTATGAGCATGTATTCTGCTTAGACATTCTCAGTTTACAATCTTCATAGTCTTGCATGTGATTATAATTTTGTCAGAACCTACCAAAAGTGTTCTCTTGAAATGTTTACTTTCATTGTGTTTGCACGATTAATATCTTTGTAATATTTGGTACTAATCAGCATCATCATTCTCAACTGGGATTTAGTCACATGGTCATTTTATCCTCATGTGAACCCAGGCATGGAAAAGGAAAATGGTCATTTTGCATCAGTGACTTTCAGATGTGTAAACCAAACTTAAAAGTGGAATTTGCTTTATTTAAAATAAACTCTGTATTGTACACATATTGCATTTTTGAACATGCAGAAATAAAATTTATTATAAGTAAGGAGTAGATGTTGCATGAAACATTTGATTTAAAAATGAGAAAGAAGTTTGGTGGTAAGTTAACATTAATCAGTTTTTATTATTTTCCCTAAGTGTGATAACGCTTGTTAAGAAATTATGGACTATAAACTATCACCATTTAGAATATGTGTTTCTGTACTTATCACTTATGTTTTTGTACCTACCAGACTATTAATTAAGCAATATATTTATTATATTTAATAATCACAGGATATAAATTTAATGTAGTTATAACTAAATTTTGTGATGTCTCTTATGGCACCTGTAGATATGGGTGATTAGTGTTAAAATTCAATGTTGGTTAGGTTACACTGTGCTAAACTAAAAACAATATAAAATTATCCATATTTTGTTTCATTAATATAGACATTTTTGTACATTTCTTACATAAATATTGTTATGTAAGCTATCATTAAAATAATACTTCCGGACAAAATGTTTTTGGTCAAACTAAAATATCAGGAAAACCTTTCATAGTTGATATGAAACATAAGTCACCCAATGGTCATGAAATAATTATTTCTGTATATTGACTTTAAGAGATTGCACATATTGGATGAATTTGTTTTTCCTTGGAAATAATATTTAATTTATTTTGCTATAAGGATTCTGAGTATCCTTTTTAATGGCATTTTACCACAGCTTTATTAATTAGGAAAAGCATAATCTATTAACAACATATGTATAACCATTGTAGGGTTTTTTTCCAATTATACACACCAGTGAATATGTGAGCTAATTTAAAAAATATGAACTTAATTGTTGTGTACCCCGATGGATGGGTGAAAATCTTTTTTCCCTTAATTGCATTCTCACAAGAAGTCTAAAATGAATCAGCCCTGGTTGTAAATTATTATACATTCCCAGTTGTAGCAGACTATGGTGGTTAGCATCTTTATATTTATTTTTCATTCTAATAATTTATGTAAGTTATACAAATTATTACTAAATATCTATATATTTGTTGAACAGTTTTAATGGGGTAGACTACCCTGGTTTCATGACCAAACAAGTTTTTTTTTCCTCTTGTTTTATGTCTTTATTCTCAGTTCCTAAGCACAGGTTAAAATATTGAATCAATGTCATTCTTGTTGTCTCACAGTAGAGGCATTCTGGGTCACTGTTATGAGATTATTAAAAATAAAAAACAGATTTAGTCAGAATTACAACCATAAAACTTTCCTTTTGTCTTCTCACTTACTGACAGATGCCTCTCATTCTCCTGATTTGCCCAAGTGCCTAAAAAAGATTAAAATAGCTTTTATTCAAAATCAATTGCTTTAAGAGGCAATGTCAAGGCTTATCTTTCCTTTTCTGTTCCATCCAAACAGATTCTTTTATCCCTGCTGAATCTGTATAACTTTTTTAAAAGTCACATGTCAGTGAGAGATACTGAGTTTATTCCCTATTGTATCAATCACAGCCAATTTTTTTAATCTGTAACAAATGTATAAAATGATTATTTTATACATTTTTTTTGTATAAAATTTGTTGTAAAAAGTTGTTGTACTTTTCTCCAACCCTGTCTTCTTTTTTTTTAGTTTTGTTGGGTCCTGAATTTTATTTATTTATTTTTTTCTTTCCTTTTTTTTATTCACATGTGCATACATTATTTGGGTCATTTCTTTCCCCCTCTGCCCCCTCACTCACCCTCTCCCCCCTTCCCCTCTTTAGTTCCAGGAAGGTCCTGTTCTGCCTTTATCACTACTTTTGTTGAAGAAAAGAGACTAGCCTAATAAGGAAGACAAAGTGTTTTTGCTAGTTGAGTTGAGGATGGCTATACAGAAATATTCCTAGCATTGCTTTCGTGTACATGTGTTATGACTCATGTTGATTCACCTCTAACTGATCTTTACCCTGGTTACTGATCCCCTTCTCATGATAACCTCTGTTGCTTTAAGGTTTCTGTATTAGCTCCTCTGGAGTGGGGACATCAAATACTTTCATGTTTTGGATTTTCTACCTATTTCTATATCACCGAAATGTGCTCTCCCCTTATCATGTGATCCAAGTCCAACTACATTGCTGTATTTGCCCTAGATCTAAAGTCTGCATATGAGGGAGAACATACGATTTTTTGGTCTTCTGAGCTTGGCTGACCTCACTCAGAATGATGTTCTCTAGTTCCATCCATTTACCTGTAAATGATAAGATTTCATTCTTCTTCATGGCTGAGTAAAGTTCCATTGTGTACAAGTACCACATTTTCTTGATCCATTCATCAATAGTGGGGCATCTTGGTTGTTTCCATAACTTGGCTATTGTGAATAGTGCTGCAATAAACATGGGTGTGCAGGTGCCTCTGGAGTAACCTGTGTTGCATTCCTTTGGGTATATCCCCAGGAGTGGGACTGCTGGATCATATGGCAGGTCTATGTTTAGATTTTTAAGAAGACTCTAAATTTTTTTCCAGAGTGGTTATACTAGCTTGCATTCCCACCAGCAGTGGATTAGGGTTCCTTTCTCCCCACATCCTCACCAGCACATGTTGTTGGTGGTGTTTTTGATTATAGCTATTCTAACAGGGGGGAGGTGGAATCTTAGAGTGGTTTTAATTTGCATTTCCTTTATTGCTAGAGATAGTGAGCATTTTTTCATGTGTTCTTTTGCCATTTGAATTTCTTCTTTTGAGAAAGTTCTATTAAGTTCAGTTGCCCATTTTTTAATTGGTTCATTAATTTTAGGAGAGTTTAGTTTCTTAAGTTCCCTGTATATTCTGGTTATAAGTCCCTTGTCTGATGTATAGGTGGCAAATATTTTCTCCCACTCGGTGGGTGGTCTCTTCAGTTTAGAGACTACTTCTTTTGTGGTGCAGAAGCTTTTTAATTTTATAAAGTCCCATTTGTCCATCCTTTCTCTTAGTTGCTGGGCTGCTGGGGTTCTATTGAGGAAGTCCTTGCCTATACCTATTAGTTCCAGAGTGCTTCCTGCTCATACTTAATGGTGAAAAACTGAAACCATTCCCTCTAAAATCAGGAATGAGACAAGGGTGCCCACTTTCCCCACTCCTATTCAACATAGTACTAGAATTCCTAGCCAGAGCAATTAAGCAAGAAGAAGAAATAAAAGGAACACAAATAGGTAAAGAAACTGTCAAAATATCCTTATTTGCAGATGATATGATCCTATACCTTAAAGACCCAAAAAACTCCACCCAAAAATTCTTAGACACCAAAAACAGCTACAGTAAGGTGGCAGGATACAAAATCAACCTACAAAAATCATTAATTTTTCTATACACCAACAATGAACAAACTGAGAAGGAATATAAGAAAACAATTCCATTCACAATAGCCTCAAAAAAAATCAAATACCTAGGAATAAATTTAACAAAAGATGTGAATGAACTCTGTAAGGTGAACTACAAACTCCTGAAGAAAGAGATCGAGGAAGACTACAGAACATGGAAAGATCTCCCGTGCTCATGGATCAGTAGAATCAACATAGTGAAAATGACAATGCTACCAAAAGCAATCTACATGTTTAATGCAGTTCCCATCAAAATCCCAATGACTTTCATCACGGAGATTGAAAAATCAACTCTACAGTTCATTTGGAAACACGAGAGACCATGAATAGCCAAGGCAATACTCAGTCAAAAGAACAATGCTGGAGGTATCACAATACCCAACTTCAAACTAAATTACAAAGCAATAGCAATAAAAACAGCATGGTACTGGCACAAAAAGAGACATGAAGACCAGTGGAACAGAATAGAGGACCCAGATATGAAGCCACACAACTATACCTACCTCATCTTTGACAAAGTTGCCAAAAACCTACGATGGAGAAAAGACAGCCTCTTCAACAAATGTTGCTGGGCAAAGTGGTTATCCATCTGCAAGAAACTGAAACTAGATACATGTCTATCACTCTGTACTAGTATCATCTCAAAATGGATCAAGGACCTAAATATCAGCTGTGTTTTCTTTTGAAAACGTTTATTTAACAGGGTAAAAGGAACTTTATGGTATCAGGCATATGCAAAATGATGTTAAGAGATTGTTAAGTATGCATGCACATATAGACTTTCTGATCTTGATTTTATTTAAAAATTAATATTTATTCTGGTGCTTGTGTGGGTAGGATAGGCAATGCTGTCCTTTGTTTTAGTTGATACAGTGTTGTCAGTGTATCTATTGTACTTCATATCGATTATCATTAAAGGAAAATGATCTAGGTGAATTAGTTACAGCAATAGAAAAGATTCTGATAACATGT